ATTACTGCAATGTAGCCCAGGTCACCCTCCCTGCTTGCACGGATTATCTCAGTAGCCTCCCAGCTGGTCTCCCTGCTTCTACTGTTACCCTTCTACAGTCTATCCTCAACAAAGCAACTAGAATAATGCTTTAAAAACACACCCAGCTACTGTCATCTTCTTCTTAAAACCTGATGGCCTCCTGTCTAATTCAGAATGAAATCTTAAATCCCTACCATAGCCAAGAAGATACTATGGGATATGACCCTTATGACCTTTTAAACTTTATTTTCCACCACCCTGCCATACCCTAGAGCCCTTGTACTTGCTGTTCTCCCTACTACTGCTTGTCTGTTCTGCTTCTCTTCATGGCCCATAACATGCCTCATCATATGACATTATGTATCTGTCAGGATAGGATAAGATATGCTGCAGTAACAAGTTCCAAATTTTGGTGGCTCAAAATGACAAAGGTTTCTTTCTCATTCCTCTCTTTTGTGAGTTGATAGAATGGTTCAGTTCACCATAGTCACTTAAATTTGATGGAACAGCCACCATTCTGAAAGTTTCAATGTATTGTCTCAAAGGGAAAGAAAGACCCTGGAGGGTCTCATAAAGGTAATGAAATGCTTGGCTAGGAAAAGGCACATGTCACTTTTGCTTGTGCTCTTTGGTCAGTCACCAGCCTCAGTAAACCCCAAGGGAACTCCAAAGTACAATCTTACCACATACTCAGAAATGGAAGGGATCTGTATTGCTTTATGAACAGCTCTAATAATGGCCACCTTGTGAAGTATGGCAGAGTTAGCCAAGTGGGGTTAGGATAGAGAGTGGGTAGAGGCTGAGGTCAGAGGAAGGTCACTACCTCAGCTCAAGGTTGGAGAGAAATGAGAACCTGGCTGAGTCTGGCTGCTTGCAGGCCCAGTCCCAACGATGCTTGTAAGAAAACTTGGTGGCCATTCGTCAGGTCCTTCAGACAAAGGGTACATTTACACAAGTGGTGATCCAGGAAGATCCCCCTGCCTAAAGATAACTTGTCTTCTGATGTCTGTAATTCTTCCACTAGAGATTCCTTCCTTTGGTTCTAGAACAGCATTGCCCAGGTTGTGTTCAGCAGAACACTTCTATTAGACAGACGGTGTCCCTAGATCTAATGGGGTTATGAAATGCTGGGGTGAATAAGATTAATTAGACTTTTTCTTCTGCAGACATTCTCAGAGCCTTGTTTAATATGATAATGTGAGTTGTCACTTCCTGTGAAAGGACTGTAAGTGTGCACTATTTCTCCAAGTTTTAGAATCAAGGGAGCCTTGCCTTCAGGAATGCCTCTTGGGGTTCAAGTGAGAGGTTTGGGGAATGCTGGTCTGGAAGCCTTTTAGTCCTACTGAGTACCATATGGAAAGCAAATGTCCCTAGGGTTAGGGATCATGTGGGACAATGAAAGCAGCATAGACAAGACCTTGAGAGCTGGCAGAGAAAGGGACTAGGGGGAGAGTGACTGCTGTGGAGGGGCAGACGAGGAGATCCAAAGTGATCCTTTCCCCAGATGGCTGCTGACTTGGAGTCTGGCAGAGCAGGAATATCTATGCCCCACCCTTCACCACCCATTTCTCTACTGCCTTTACTCCCAGGAGCTGCCTCTCCTCTCCTTCCTTCTGCCACATGAAGCCCATTAGCCTGTGTTTCACAGCTCTGTTTGTTCCCATCTCCACCTCTCAAGCCAACAGCACACTAGGCCTTCCTGGTCTACATGACTGATCTCTGCAGTCCCTGCTGTCTGGCTCCACTCTGGGATCTTCCTCTGCATCTTTTAATAATCATTTATGTAGCCACCTCTACGAAGATATCCCTGAGAGCTTTCACCACTTCTCTCCCCTTCTCAGCTGGATTATCCCTCCCCAAACTCCCATGACACCCTGTGCATATCATGCTCTGTTTCTGTCCCTCTAGTCTGGGAGGCTGGAGGGCTTTGTCTTTATATCTCTATATCCTCTCTGGTAGGAGAGAGATATTCAATAATTAATTGAATGAATGAGACTTTGGCATGGAGCAAAGAATGCATTAACACCCCTTACATAGGCAACTCTAATGAATTTCCTAGGCAAAAGACTCTTCTGTGTTCACAGCCTCATCCTTGTTTATCCTTGCCCAGCTTCACTGGAGCTCTAACTTCCTGGGGTACCAAATCTTCTCATAGCCTCCTTCACTCTCTGTCCCTTCTGCCTGAAATGTCTGTCCCCCATCCCAGCCCTGTCTCCATCCCACTCTGCCCCATCCACCTGACAGGTTCTTTCTCACACATGGGGTCCAGCCACAATATCACTTTCTCTTGTCAGATTCAGTAAATTAAACTACAGGATGCCCAATTAAATTTGAACTTCTGAGAGATAACAGATATTTTACTATGAGTATGTCTCACATTACGCATCCCAAATATTGTAGGAGACATGCTTGTATGAAGAAATTATACATGTTTATCTGAAATTCACATTTCACTAGAAAGCCCTGTGGTTTCTGAGTCATCTTCTTTCCCGCTCTTCTTCCCACCTGCACCCCCTGCCAAAGAGTTGTAGCATTTTCTGCACACCCTGTCACCACGCATCCTCCCCATTCCAGTCATCATCATACTCACCTGCCTCAGCCTGGGAAGGTGACAGCACATCAGTCGTCATAGATGAGTAAATGTGTATTTTCCCTTTATTTCCCCAACTATGTATTTATTCTCAAGGATGACTGGGCAGCATTTGGTTTTAATTTCATTCAGGACATCATGTGGCTGAGACTAAAGATGAGTTAACTATTGGATGGGATGATAGTAGCACTTCTGTTAACAAAGCTGTGTCCTGGTAAGATGCATGGAACCTGACATTTCATTACCTGATCAAAAAAGCCAGAGACCCATAGCTGAGACCTGTGTCCCTCCCTGCCATTGTGTGAGGGTCACCAGTGTGAATGAGGGAAGGACGTCTCAGGCTGATGCTGGAGAGAAAATCAGCTGTAGCTGAAGCAGGACCATGCGTGAGAGAGGGTCTTCCTGGTTTTGAGACTTAGGCTCAGGAAATTCTGATTATCTATCTCTGTCTTTGGAGTGTATGGGTTTTTTAAAAAAAGTTCTTTTCAATCTCCTTCACTCAATGCTCACCACAGCCCAGATGAGTCCTTAACACAGGAAAACCAGCCTGAAGTGATGTGGACACGAGTTACAGGAGACCGCAGGAACCCGGGTCTAGGCTTCTCATCCAGTGCTCTTCCACTCCTCTCAGCATCTGGAGCTGGATGCCCATGAAGGCAGCCTTCTCCGAGGAGGCTCTGAGTGGCAGCAAGCCCTCAGGACAGAGCCAGGCAGTTTGAAATGACTCAACCCTGGAAGAATTATTGTAAAGCATGGTGAAAGTTCCCTTTTTTATTGCTAAGGATTTCCCTTTCTCAGTTGAGTAAAATTTCCAAAGTTAGCCACTGATTGTTTTGTTATTCATGGTGAGCAAGAAACCACAGTGCCCAAATACCCAGCATGGATGTGTGTGTGCATGTGGGTGTGTGTTTAAGGACAGTGTTCTTGCCCCTTAATTATCTCTAGTCCAGGTCTCAGCTCATCCCGAAGCGTAAAGGCACAGGCAATGAGGCCCAAAGTTGTTTCCAGGGCAGGAATGAGAAGAAAGTGAAACAATGAACTGTTTCCAGGTCAAATTCAACTTTGGAATTCTGTACATTATATTCCTCCTGGGCTGTTCAAACTGTTCATTGGTCTGGTAAAGGCTCTGTTAATTTCTACACAACAGTGATTTTTTTAAAACTTAAAGCATGAGGTGATGTTATTTAACTCAGTGTTTTCCAAAGCCACCCTGCCCTTCTCCTTTGTTCTGAGGAACATCTCACCTGGTTAGTAATCCTGTGAACATGCTTTAGGAGATGGGCTCTCACAGGAGAGTGAAGGAAAGTGAGAGGTTTATCACTGGTGGGTTCCCTCTCCCAGTATCTTGGCTCAGAAAAAAAAGCAGCTGTGCTCAGCACTGCCCTCAAGTCATGCCAGACAGCCCTGGCAGGAGGACTCCACACAGCTGAGGCCCTATGTTTTCACCCATGGTCCCACTGAGTCTTGAGGTGAGGCACTGTGTACATGGAGAAGAGGAAGTCATTGCAGAAGGCTGAGCACCATATTAAGTGCTGTCCAGTGGCAGCTTGACTGGTGGCTATGGAGAGGAGCCACAAGAGCACCAGACAAGATCGGGTGTGCGTATATGAGGAGGAAATGTGCTCCTCTCCCTCAGCCCAGAGCTGTCACATTTCCTCTCTTTACACCAGAACACACTAATGTGTAGCCACCACGTACACAGCTCCAAAGATTCTGCTACATTGCCAGATAGAGGCAATGTGCACAGTGTCACTCAGATGTGTGCCCCGTGGTGGCTCCATCCACCTGAGGCTCTTATTGCCTCAGGGTTTCACACACACTGCTTTCTCTATCTGGATGGGATGCTTCTGACTTACTGGGACTGTATCTTAGGCTTAGCCTCAATGTCCCCTCTAAATAAAGCAAGTTCTCCCTTTTTTTCTGTTCAGTATCCTGTTTGTATTCTCCATTGCACTCACCACCACCTAGATCAATACATATTTACTCTCTTGAATATTGCCTGTCTCCCTCCAAATAAAATAGTAACTCCATGAGGACAAAGATGTTGCTGTTTCAGTCACTTTTGGGTCCCCAATGTCTGAAACAGTGCATAATTCAGTATAGGCACACCATAAGTGTTTGTTGAGTAAGTAAAGAACAACGTATCATTTTTCCCATCTGTGTAGTGACTGGCTGCTGGGAATTGATGGGTGTGGCCATTGACTAACAAATGGGTTGTGTGGTGGTGAAGGAGATAGTTCATAATAAATACTTGTGGATAACTGCTTGGCCCAGCCACAAGTCTGGTAGAACATGAGGAAGTACAGAAGTACAGAGAGCAATAGAAATGAGTTTTTATTTGTAAAAAGTTACAAAATGATATTGTACAAAAATAAAGTCTGTAGAGAACTTTGGTTGTATAACACAAATGACCAAGACAGATCAGAGAAGTCAGAACTTCCAAAGAAGTGCACTCCTTACTGTATCTGATGATAATCACAATGATTAAGAAAAATCACAAACTTTACCCTTTTGTGGATTTTGTGGAGCAATTTGCTTCCATCAGAACCTGCTTATGATGTTAAGGTGATGCTGGGAACAAGTTGTAGACACCCACTGAACCCTGCAGCCTCTTTGGGCAGGGACTCTGTGGGGTGCTGGGGCTGAGGTTGAAAACTGGGAAGATCAGCCACTACATCTGTCAGGATTCTCTGAATTTGGGGCAACATCCAAATTGTGCTAGATAGCTGGGGATGTCACTGCTCTGAGCAGGAGAGGGTGACAGAAACCCTTTTCCTCTATTTCCCTGTCACGTGAGGGTAACAGAAAGGACAAAGAGGGACAGAACAATGGAGAACTTGGGTCTTTGGGGGCAATGGGTGGGGAAGATACCTGGTAACTGCTTCTTGGTTACTCTGCAAAAATAACATAATTATTTGAGGGAGGCCAGTAGATTATAAGTGCTAAATGTGTACTACTTTTGTGGCCAATAGCCACTTAGGTAGTGATAGATTAGCTCCTGGATAAAAAGCCCTTTTATTGTATGTGTAATTAGCTCTAACACTGGGCCTGGTCATCACCCATAGGTTGGCTGCCACACAAATTCACATAGGGCCACGGAGGTGGCAGTTGCTCCTACTCTGTGTTTCCTGCCCCTGAGCTCTTTCATCAAAGAGGTATCCTATGCTAGGAGTGAGGCCTAGTGTGTGTACACTGTGGCTGGGCCACGTGCCTCTTCCTTGTCCATCCTTCTTAGCCGCCTTCTCCCCAGGAAGCCTTCAGGTGAGCAGGTGCTGCAAGAGTTGACCCCAGGCAACAGCCAAGGGGCTCACAGGGGAGCAGGCATCAGTATGGTGCTGGCTTCACTGTGCACCCATGTTTCTTGGGAAGGCGGTGGTGGATGGCAGTGATGGAGGAAGAGACACCACAGGTTAGGGCAAAACCCTGGCTGCCTGACAGGCAGGGTCCTTCACTTTGCTTTTAGGTCAACATTAAATCCAGGACTATCTACTACAGGAATTTTACCTTTTATATATATGGTTATGCATATTACAGGTAGATACATGTGGAGGGGAGGAAGAGCTTAAATACAACAGAGAGTGGAGCATATGGCATATCTGTTCCATGCAGGAGCAGCGAAGAAATGAAGCCAAGTGCCAATGGTCTCTGCACAGTGCTCCCGGAAAGGGGGCCAACCTGGAGGTGCTCCTTTTGACATGCTTAAACAAATACAAACAGGGAGAAAGACTGAAATCTGGGGTAATTAATGAGGAATTTTTTTAAAAAGGTAAAGTAAGTGATTTTTGCCTAGAGAAAACTTTTTTAATACTTTGAAAAGCATGGACCCTTGTTCCCAATTAAAATTTCCTTTTGTCACCCTTCTTTGCATTTTGCGAGCATATATACTTTGGCACCTTTGCAAAGAAACTTTAATAAATAAGGGGAAAAAAAGAGAAATTCATTAGTGAATGGTAATAAATAACAATAACTTAAATCTCAATAAATATCTTCTCTATATTTCTGTATCTGAAACAGATGCATTGCATCGAGTAGCTTCTCTGGTCACTGGTGACCATGCATAAACGGAGCTGGGTATGTAACATCTGTCTCTCTGTAAACTGAAGGCCCTGGGGTGGGTCTCCCTGGCCTAGGGCAGCTGGGGCCTTCCCTGCTTGCTCTCCTAGGAGAATGCTGTCGAACACCGCAATCGCTTCCTGTTTCTGAGGACATAAAGGAAATGCCTTCAGGTTTGTTTTTCATCATGAAGACAGCTTTTTTTTCATTCCTAGCCAACTTCTTCCCACCCCACATGCAATGTTCAAAATTAATCACCAACCGTTCCCCAAAACACTGGTTGTAGTCAACCTCAGGCCTCAGCTTTAAAGTTCAGAGGTTATTATCTTTTGTGTCTCCGCTATTTTCCCCCCTCTCCTTTCCAGGGTATGAATCCATCGAGTGACAGAAAAATACACCTTTCTTACTTTCAGCAGTAGAACATAATGACAAGGAGTGACACCAGGCTCATTGCTTCCTTGGTGTTCTCAGACATGTGAAAATGAACCACAGGAGATACACTGGTTTGGTTCTTTGAGTGCATTCGTGACTCCGACTGTGGTTGGTGACAGTGGACTGTATCAGAAGAAATGATGAAACAGCCAACCAGGGACACCAGCCCTGACCTTCTGGAGACATTGGCTGCTGTCCTGGAGAACCCAGATGGCTGTTTTCTCTCTCCCATCCAGTTTTCTATAGCTGGACCTCCCTCTACCAGGCTCCCACAATGGCTGCCTTCCTCCTCCTTCTCCTCTTCCTCCTCCACCTCTGCCTCCTTGGTCCTCATCTTCCCTTCTGGGCAAACATTTCCTGGGAACCTTGGTCCCTTTCTTTGCACTGTAGCAGGAATGCAATACAGCAGTCTCTGGAGCTGGAGTCAGATACATCCACACCTTTTAGCGGAATGCTTTCTTAGAATATGGTAAACCAGGTTATCATCTAAAAATGACAGATCATCATCGAAGGCAATGGGTCTGCAACAGGCCTGCCCTACTTTGTCACTCACTAGCCTTCTACTTCTGGATAAGTTTTTTAGTATTTTGTCATACATTGTCTCCGCTGCATCACAAGAGCCGCTGCAGTACCGAAAAATCAGTTCTTCCTTGGTTTCGTAGCCCAGACCCAAGTCAGTGACATTTAAATGTATTGCTGTTAAGACACAGCCTCGATTTTTGCCCCTCTGGCCTCTTCGACCTTTTCCTCTGGAATTCTCTGGGTTGGCAGCTGCAGCCTGCCGATTCCGCTCTCTTCTAGGAAGCACCGCCATTTGTTTATCTGGTGACCTTTTCAGTCTTTTAATGGTGGCTTGAATAAAATCCATGACATCATCAAACTGATCTGGATAATCCTCTGGCATATTTGCTGTTCAACAAGAAAACAGAAAATGTCACATGAGACAACAATGACCATTTCAGGCAATCTTCTAGATCAAAGTGCTCCCTAAAGTCAGTGCAAATTGGACCCATAGTGAAATGATCAGCCACTTAAGCTAAGTGCACAGTGTAACCCCCTAAAAACAGAGGCTAAAACGGGTCTTCTAACACTTTGCAGATGAAAAATTAGTTGGAAGAAGAGACTAATGTGGTGGGTGATCCACTTCATTGCAGAAATCCAACCTTTACAAGTTTATTTTACATTTGAGCCAATTTTAGCAAGTCAGCAGAGGGGACTGTGAACAGGCTGACCACTGAAGGCTCTTTTCTTGCCTTGGAATATAGCCTAGAGCCTGGTTCTCAAACATGAATGTGCAGTGTTATGGTTTATATCTAGATGTTCTCCCAAAGCCTCATGCACTCATAGGTGGGGCTTTTGGGAGGTGACGGGGTCATGGGTGTGTTACTGGATTAGTTCACTGATGTGTGAAGCCTAGTGGGAAGAGGTGGGTACTGTGAGCATGGATGGGAGGGTGTATGTCCTTCCTCCTCCCTTGACCCTTGCTCTGATTTCTGCCTGCCACACCACCAGCTTTCTCCTGTCCCCTGCCTTGGAGCCACCTGACTGTGGACTGAATCCTCTGTAAACTGTGAGCCAAAATAAACCTTTCTTCCTTTATAGGTGTCAGGTACTTTGTCCTAGCTGTGAAAGTAACTAAAACACGCAGGAAAATACCCAGGATGCTCGCTGAAATGCAGAGTGCTAGCCCACCATAGGACATCAAGAAGTGTGTATGTGAGGGGTTTGTCAAGAAACCTGCATTTTTAACAAGCCCCTGAAGAATTGTAATATTCACAATTTGTAGACCAAACTTTGAGAAACATTGTCATAGAGGCCAAGAAAAAGTGCGCCTCCTAACCTTGTGACTCTCATGTGGAATACCGAGTGTTCATCCCCGAAATTCATCCTGACACTGGCTGAATGGGACAAGAACAGTTGGATTGGACAAAAAAGAGCTCCGAACCTCGTCTACTTTAAAACTTCTTTAAAAAACTATAAGGAATGGAGAAACAACTTAAATCTTATTAATAAAGAAATTCATTTGCCATTTTCTTTGAATGGTGTGACTAACAAACAAGTATGGTGATTTAAATGTCTCAAATGTATCACAGCAATGGATGATATGAGAGGCTGTGGATGGATGCAGCCCTGACCCGAGGGGGGAAGCCCAATCTTTGCTATAGGCTGTCACACTGCTCTCTCCGTCTGGCTGCAAATCTGGTAAGAAATGTGTGTTTCAGGAGATCCCATGGGGGAAAAATGAGAGGACACTATGATGAGACCTCTGGTTAAAGTGGTGAACTTGTAATCTCTTGATGTTTTCTGGATATTTCAGCATTTGGGGCAGTATTTGGCCAATTGAGTAAGAGAAAAACAATTATTGGGACAATTTAATATATTTCTAAAGGGAAAGAAAATCAAATTTGAAATATTAGGTACTATGCATTTTATGTCCTCCTGACCCTATATGCAGGCAACTTAGTTTCTTTAAGATTATATGTGGCTTAGAAAAATATACCCAAAAAGAGTTGTGAGCAAGAGGAATTTTTTCCAAGTCTGTGTTAAATCACAGAAAGTGTAGACTATGCCTACCCTACCTCACATTATTCGATCATAAATCTAAACTATTTAATGGTTAAAACATGGGGAGTATTCTACTGTGTAAAATGAACTATAGCCAGGATTACTTAATCACTTGTGTGTTAAGCCCCCCCGACACATTGGTCTGGATCATTCTTCTTTGTGGGAGGCTGTCCTGTGCATTGCAAGATGTCAGTGTCCCCCAAACCTAGTCATCACAACTACAATGTCTTTAGACATGGCCAAATGTCCCCATGGGGGCAAAATCATCCAGACTGAGAACCACAGCTAAGGGCTCTGGCCTTGGTGTGGGCTAATTCCTTTTTGCTTAGACTGCTGTTCCTTAGAGGACCCTATGCTACTCTGTGTTTCCTTCAAGCCTTTGCTCAAATGTCATGGTCAATAGTCACACTCTGATCTCCTTGTTTAAAATGCAGTATGTTCCCCAATTCCTACTCCCTGTGTCCTGCATAGGACTGCTACGTTCTAACACTATCTGAGGTCTTGGGTGTGTTATTTATGAAATGCTTCCTCGTGGGTCACTGATGGATCACAAACAAATGCTAGGAATGAGGTCTGGTACCTGGGGGTCTTGATAACTGTGGAATGGATCAATCACTTTCCATAGGAAAGACAGAGTTCTTAATGTTTCAAGGGACAGCGGGACTTTCACTGAGAACTGCATCTTTATGAAATGAAAGGCTCCAAAACGAACAGCCCATATCACACAGGAAACCTTGATGCCCTGCATGGCACAGTCTCCTCCTATGATAGGGTGGAGAACCATTCTAACATTACCTTCCTCACCAGCTTCCTGTAGCATTAAAGCTTAGCCCTCTGTGCCCACATTATCCTGGGTCTTCAAAAGGGATCCTGGGTGTAAGTTTTCAAGGGCACTAGAGAGTGGTGGAGGATTCCTAATGCCTCCTTGGCTTTGGACTACTTTCTAACTGGTCTTTCTTTAGGAAGTTTTCTCAGCAACAATACCAACAACAACAACAATAACAACAACAACAAAATTAACTCTGATTTAAAGAAACAAACGACTTATTTTTTAAAAAGAGTTGCTTATGGTATTTGTGATTTCTTTCAATAATAAACTATTAAAGAGGAAATACATACAAGTATGACTATACTTATTTTTATTTCTGATATTGAGGGGAGGGGATTATCATTATCAATCTTCAGTACCGGACATTTATTGTATATTTCTTTATTTTTTTGCTGTTTATTCTGTTTTCTTTGGTTTGTTTGTTTGTTTGTTTGTTTTGGTACTGGAGATCAAACTCTGGTCCTTGAGCTTGCACAGCAGGAGAGAAACCACTGAGCCAAATCCCTGGCCGAATGTACTTATTTTTAAAAATAAATATTTGCTTGTATTTGTAAAAAGAAAAACCATGATTGTGTACAAATTGGAACTTCTAGAATGAATATATACTAGGTCATTGATCAAAACATAAAGGAGTCTAAATAAAAAAGTCTTTGTTTTACAAAGGGACTTACACTTGAGGTCCCCAGCTCTATTCAATTCCTAAATAGATATTAACTTAGGAACACAGGAACATCAATTAACAATCAACTTAAGATTAATCAGAAATGGGATAAAACATTACTAAAATTTTAACAAAAGTAACGGTAAAAGATTTGAGTTATAAGAGTTCAAATTACCCTGGTTTAGAGACTCATACATTTATAAAAGCTACTTAATTTCATATTACTGGAGTTATAATTATGATTTGAATCAGCACCGACAGCATTTTTATTTAGCTTCTGATACCTTTGAAGTTGTTGAAAAATACTCATCCCCCCTTTAAGATATTGTGACAGCACGGCTTTATCACAGGCTTAGTTTACCAGAAAAAACTAATGCCCAGGTAAGTTTAAATTGCAGATAGTGAATAAAATTTTAATGTAGGTCATACCAAATATTGCACAGGACAAATAATGCAACATTTGGAAAATACTTACACTTCATTATGAGAGTTTAGTGCTATTTTCCTTAAATTCCACTTGGTCTTTTCCTGGTGGCCCAAGCAGAATGTGAATGCCCAAACTACTTATGATTTTGGATGATGTGTGGTAAACAGATTACTAACCATGGGTTAAAAGGCTTCTTGATGATAGTGAATATATACCATAATAAACTTGTCCAAATCCATACTATGTACAACACCAAGAGTGAACCCAAGTGTTAAGTACGGACTTTGAATGATTACTTTATGTATGTCAATGTAGGCTCATAAATTGTAACAAATGTTGACAATGGAGCAGCCTATTTATGTGGTGGGGGGCAAGAAATATATGGGAAATTTCCGTACTTTCCTCTCAATTTTGTTGTAAACCTAAAACTGCTCTAATAAATAGTTTAAGAAAAAGCTTTCTGGCCCCCCAAGAAGCACTAGATAAATATCTGATGTGTTAAACTGAAGGATGTGGCTACTGAAAATTCTTCCCTTTGATGGAAAAAGTCTCTCTCCTATTTTGTAGCTAATATGGAAATATCAGGTAAGCCCTAAGTTTAGTATAGGTGACTCTTACTGAGCTGAAGGGTCCCCTTCGTCATATTCTTGAAAAATAGAATGAACAATAAATATTTATATAGAAAATTTTACACACACATGAACTGTGGAAATCAGGAATGGGAAACTTTGTGTTTTGCAGACTACAAAGCAAAAAGGCCTGACTCTTCCAATTAAATTCCTAATTCCAGGCCTTTTGATGTTTTCAAGTTAATTCATAGAGAACCTCAATTTATCAATGTGGGGTGTTTGGGGGCGCATTAGCCATATACCTTTGCAGAGGGGTGCTGGGGAAACCTCACTGGGTCTGTTCCTAAGAATTCCATAGAAGCACCTTGCCCAGCCTAGGCAAGTCATTCCCCATGATGAACCTAGAAGCCCACAGTTGCTTCAATCTTCCAACAATTCACTGAGCTGAGGAGAAAGGAAAGGGGCTAGAGTTTGGGTTAATTCCCTAAATTAAGACTTAGTAGAACCAGGCACAGTGGCATGTGGCTGAAGTCCCAGGTAAAACTGGGCCAAAAAGGACTGGGTTTGAAAACAGCCTGGGCAAAATAGGGAGACATCATCTCAAACAAAACAAACAAGCAACAGAAACCTTAGCAGGGTATCACTTTCTACTTCATAAAAGGCGTGACAGAGTGTCAGATACACAAACAGCCCTCACTAAAGGTAACTTTGATGATAAAACACTTGTAAGCCACAAAAGAAGAGCATCATTAAAAACAAAACATCTATTATATTTGAATATTATTATAGTTTTTTTCCCTTGCATTGTTTTTCTTTGAATACTTTTAATTTTTGTATATGTGTGTGTTTAGTGAATGA